TGAATTTCGGGCGACGACATGGCCGCGGGCCTTTTTCGAAATTTGCGTGCGGACATGAAATGGGTCGTCGCTGTTGGGCGCACTGCCGACCAAATCTTAAAGAGGGCGGACGCCGAGCGGGCGACCGACCCAAACGAACAAAAAACGGACAAATTCGCCGTCTGTTTGGACCGGCGCGTTGGGGTTGCTCTAAAAAGCTGGCCCTTGGATATTTTATTACTTGTTTTTAGGGCCATTTGCTTTTTTTCTAAAAATCAACAAAAAAACCGGTGTTGGTGGCCTTGTTGATGACTCCGGCTGGATGACCATACATTTTCGCGGACATTTGATGATGTCAATTTGATTGATGATTGACGTGAGTTGCCCTAATGCAACCAATCACGCTGGCGACGCATGCCCTTATACTCCAGTTATTTGGACGTGCTGGCAATAAATTTTTTTAGCGGGGTGCTGGCAATATCTAGCGGTGGTCCAGGTCGCACGTGAAGCGAATATCCGCAAAGCTAAAGCCTGACCCCGAGCCAGCCCGTCAGTCAACCCAGCGAACCGAACCGGGCAGGTAAGGCAGACACGGGGGTTTGGAAAGCCTCACGAAACACCATGATCCCAAAGCACACTCGTACGCCTGGCCCTCCTGCCGGCCAATATTGTATAGCACGCGGGGGAGGATCGGTTGCGCGCGATCGACCAGCGAAGCTTCTGCTGGGCAGGATCGCGGGGGGAGATCACGCCTTTACGACACAACAATATATCGTGCCCAGATCTCCCGGGTAGATCCTGCTGTTCTCTCCGTTGTTCGTACCCCAAACCCGATCCATTTGTTTATGTGCTTTGCCTCGTCGGGGTCGACTCATGCCTTTGCTTCCTGACGATTCCCTCGGTGTCGGAGCAAATTGTTTAGCCACCCATCCCAACTAGCGGATGTGTTGAGTCGCGGTTCGCTTCAACCTAGCCGGTGGACGCACCCCTCACAGTGCGTGTGGGAGCTGCGATAGTGGACGACGTCGTTCGTAGAGATGTCTCCCTTCGATTCAAAATACAAGGTGTATTAGAGCATCTACAGTTAAACTTGATAACATTCGTGAACATGTTCGGGTGCGACCTCGGACAGCCCCTCATATTGCTTGTCGGGCGGCCACCCTACTTAAATTAAAATTCTCAAATTCATGCAAATACACGCACGTCCATCACACACGTGTGATATCTAAATAACATATGTTGGTAGAGAAAATACATATTTTGAATATAAAATTTATTTTAAGTGCAAAATTTATTGGTTTTCATTATGGATCCACATATGCTCCACAAGATCATTGAGTAGTTGTAAATGCACCTGATGATCTTTAAGATTCTAATGCATCTGTAGAATGTTGGTACATGATCAAAGTAGTTCATGTAGAGCAACCATGCTTGGTTTGGCTGTGTGCTTCTCAGTTATGCAGAGGCCAGGTGTAATGCTTAAACCGTTTATTATTGAAAACGAGCAGCCTTTTTAGTAATAAATCGTCATTTATCGGAAAAGAGCAGCCTTTTCAGTAATAAATCATCATTTCTCAAAAAAGAGCAGCCGTGCTCCAGAGACCATATCCTAATTCAAAACTCTTCTCCCTTTGTTTGAACCCTTGAATTCAGGATGTGCTCCACCTTCCAGTCCATTTTCGGCTTCATGCTCATGATCATGATCATCTTCACTTCCTCAATTGAATCCGATGAATCAAAGAACTCCTTTTGAATTAATTCATAGAGCTTCATGGGTCCATACTCCTCATCCGATGAACCATCTAAATCCATCACTTTATCTACAAAACAATAACAAAACAATTGGTCGGACAATGTGTCAAACACACAGAGGGCAAGGTCCAGTCTAAGAGTAGTCGGGCGTACCACGACAGCGTCCGGACTGGCGACAATGTCCATGGCGGCGAGGCTAGAGGGGAGGAGTTTTCTGGCGGTGCTGGCAGCGCTGAGGGCTCGATATGGCGACCGAGCAAGGGTGGAGGCAGGGCTAGGGGATGGCCGGCACGTGCGAGGGAGAAGAAAGGAGTGAAAAATGGGTTAGGTCAAGGGAGGGGGGATTTGGTGCAATTTACGATGGGTCCTGCCTCTTGGGTCCAACGTGGCGGACACACCTGGCGTGTCTGGACTTCCTCATATCCGTCCTAGATATGAGCTGGATTTGAGGGATGTCAGTGTGCCCAGACATTTAGGGCGATATGAGGAGCCCATCTGATCGGAATTTTTCGACCGATCAATGACCGGGGCGTCCACTTGTACATATAAGGGGTTTGGGGAGCCAGCTGTAGATGCTCTTAGTTTTTGCAAAAGCCAAACATGTGCATGTATAAAAAACTAAAAAAAACATGTGCATGTATGATCAAATTTATAGAAAAGAATAACAATATTTGCAATACCAATTTTGTATTATTAAATTCATTGTGAAAAATATTTTCATATTTTATTTATTTTGTATTGTAATATTGTATTCTATAATCTTGGTCAAACATACATAAATTTAACTTGCACAAAAATTAATGCACAGTACCTTAGATTCTGGAATAGGGGAGTACTTGCCTACCGGGACGCACCTCCCAGATAAAAAGAAAGAAGAATGAGAGAATCGGGAAGCGCCAGGTGAGAACTAGAACCAGGAATCCGAAGTATCAACCTGTCGAGTACTAGTACTGTCGTAGTATGATTCAGCTCTGCAAAAACGTGCAGTTTATTCGATCTTGAACTAATTGGCAGCACGCCCAGAGCTTAAGTTCATTAAAATTTTCCTTTTTTCAAATTTTTTATAACTGTTTACCAAACTGGTCGTCCGGTGAGCTTAAGTTCAAGAATGGAGGCTCCAAGTTTGATGTTATTGTATTCTCATAGTAATGATGTATTTTATGCTAGCTCCTCGTTACTTTTTTTTGTGAGAAAAACTTGGACAACGCTAACGCCCACACGTGCAATGGGAGTTAAACCCGTCCACACGTCCTATAACACAGACTATGCCATGTCACCGTATGCATGCATGTGAAAATATTTTTGGATTTTTTGTTTTTAAAATATTTTATCTCTTAAATGAAAATTCTGATTGAAGATCCGTTTTCATCATTAAATCCCTCACGACGAGATCTTCGAAACTAGATCTCATATCGATATATTTCGACGAAATTATTTTTTGATTAAAAATTGTCATGTCTATTGCACATGAATTGTCATGATGTTTACACTCAAGTTGCCATGATATGTTTCAGCTATTTTCTTGTACATTTAAAAGTAAATTTTGACATATTATAAAATGGGGAATTAAGAAACTAGACTTGCTATGAACCATAAACTAAAATTGCCATGATACATGCACTTAAAATTGCCCTGGTTCATACAAAAAAAAAATTATGGTCAAAGTACTGGAATTGCTATCATCAAAAAACTAAAATTGTCATGCTCTACAAACTGAAATTCCCACATGGCAATTTTAGTTTAAGCACTATGACAACTACAGTGTAAACATCATGACAACTTTTGAGCAAATAAAAATTTCGTTGAAACATATCAACATGGGATCTAGTTTTAAAGATCTCGTCGAGACGGATTTAATGATGAAAACGGATTTTTAATTCACTTTTTTAATTAAGAGATAAACTATTTTTTAAGCCAAAAACCAAAAAGATTTCTGCTGATGTCATCTGTTCATACGTGGCAAAATGAGTGGTTATAAAGGCATGTGGGCGATGTGCAAACGCCCACATGTGTGGGCGTTAGTTTTTCCGAAAAACTTTCGATCTATTCATTAACTGTCAAGATAGTACAAAGAAATACAGAAATAAAAAATACATCCAGGCCCATAGACCATATAGCGACCGCTACAAGCATTGAAGCGAGCCGAATGTGCACCGCCATCATTGCCCCTCCCTTATCAGAGCCAAACAAATCTTGTTGTAGTAAACAGTCAAAAAATCGTCATGCTAAGGCCACATGGGACCAACGCAGCAGAATAGCAATCAACACCGATGAAGAGAAACTTAGATCGGAAGGATCAAACTTGTAGTTACATGAACAAAGACAGGATCCACCGAAGACAAACGCCGATTGAATCCCGTGAGATCCACCGGAGACAAACCTCCACGCGCCCTCCGAAGATGCTAGAATCACCATCGGACGGGCACTAAGCAGGAAAAACTTTATTCCATCTTCAGAGAGCTGTCGTCGCCTCTACTAATTTTATTGTTGATTCCAAATGATACCAAGAGATCTAAAAGTCAACAAAAAACTACCTCACGTACGTAGCAAAATTTATGAAGAACCAATGCTTTACTTATCGGAAATCATAAAATTTTATGTCAGATTTTTAAGCACGACAAATCTGACGTTTTGGGTGACAAATTATGTTGTCCCCTGCATAGCAATTTCCTTCAGCAAAGGTGGATAATCCCGACAAAAACTGAGTATGAAAAAAATTTAGCATGCTTGTGACAACATAATTTACCATCAAAACATCAGATTTTCCATGCTTAAAAATCTGACATTTGTAACGAATTATTTATTAGCAGATTTCCTGCTATATTTATTGTGGTAGTATTGAATAGTGACTTAAAGAAGAGTATCTACTTGCAAATTACTCTCCTAAGTAACCAGGGAGACAATTGATGGCAAAGATCCTAGGAGATCACCACCTAACTAATTAAAATGCATTGCCCGCTTTTAAAATTCCTGGATTTTTATTTCAAGCGATATGGTTTTGGGGCACATGGTGTTCACTATATTCAAAAGATGGCCATGCCACTAGAATACTAGATGTAATTTTAAAATTTGAGGCAAGAAAAAGCTTGGGAGAGCAAGTCTCCCTTTTAATAAAGAGTTGGGATATATTGGCCTGCAAGGAGATCTCTCCCTTTCATTTTAAAAGAGGTTGTGTGCATCATCCAATCAACCCTCTCTCTCTCCTCCTAGCTAGCTAGCTTGTTCATCTTGTTCTTCCAAGTCTTCCTGCTAGGTCTCTCTTCGGGGATATGAGTGGGAACAACTTTGGGGACAGCATGGGGTGGGGTAGATCGCCCGGCTCCAGGAAGGGCAAGAGAGGCGGCGGCAGCAGCGGCGGCAGTGGCGCCGACAAGCCGAAGCAGCCGCAGCGGGGGCTCGGCGTGGCGCAGCTCGAGAAGATTAGGTTACAGAGCGAAATGGCTGAGTACTTCCATCCTCTTGGTGGTCAGCCACCCAGCTTGATCCACAGAACGGCCAGCCTCAATTTGGTGAGTGAAGACACATCTTGCAAAGCTGAAGCGAACATATGTGTATATGCATATTTTGTGTGTATGGATTTGCTTGCGATTTTCGTAAGATTGGGCGTTTCTGATTCCTTGCGTCTTTGGAATGGATCTATCGAGCAGGAGGATACGCGGGCGTCAACGTCCTCGCTCTCATCGTCCCCATCGTCCCCCTTCCATGCTACCGCCGTCTCGTCGGCCTTCCCGGTCCATCCGAATTTCGGGGTAGGCTGTCATCTTTTCCCCTTCATGTTGTTTCAGGAAGAAATTAATTGGTATAAGAAAAACTTGATATAGGTACTCGTTATATGTATATATATGTGGAAGCAGTAGAAGTAAGTACTGATCTTCATCTTTTGCGAGTGAACAAGTACTGATATTCTTTTCACCAAAGTGAGATTTTGAGTTTTCTTCGTGATAAACAGTGAAGAAACTACTTGTCTTTGAATTGTTTCAAAACAAAAATGAACAATCATTCTTTCCCGATTTTGAAATGTTGCAAAGCCTGGGGTGAAAAAAGGGGAGAAATGATGTGGTTACAGGATGCAATTTCCTCTTCAGTTAATTTTAGATTTGTTTCCAGTTAGGTGTGCTAGTTCTGCCTGTTCTCTTTCTTCTTCACTCGTTCTTAATTTGTACTACTACTACTTATTTTCTCCTTGATCATAGATATCGCCATTATCGCGTTATCTAAGCAGTTATCCTGACAAGGATCTCGTCCGTACTGTTTTCATGATACGAAAAATCTACATGATTAAACTTTCTCTGATCACGTCATTTGTTTAATTATCATCAGCTTTCGTGCTGTATGTATCTTGTTTGTTCTTCCATATGCGCGTGAGCTACATATCAAGATCTCTTACGACATCTCTGGCTTTATCATGCACAGTTAGCATATGCGGAGAGAGGAGACGCGCGATACGGTGAATTCCAGACTCCCATCGTCAGGTACTGCACACAACTTCAGTAGTCCTTGAATTTACCCGGAATAACAAGCTACAGCTCCAACTAACAACTGCAACATCTGCATATGCCTGCCAACCAGATCTCCAAGCAGCAACACTATCTACGGGCCACCACATTACGCGCATCCTGGTGTCACATTGCCACTGTTTGCACCAGAGGTATGTCTCTCTAGATGCAGATCATGGAGACAGATGGACGAGTTGAATGGCTGATCAAACAGCATTATACACTGCGAAGTTATCTTTTTGACTCATGTGGTTCTTAACCATTTTTATTTTCTGTAGGAATCTACCGGTCTGAGAGGGCACCATGACCGGAGCCGGTCGGCTGATTCGACGAGTATGAACTCCGACGATCCAGAAGACGTGGATCTCGAGCTCAAGCTATGATCCACAAATGTTCTTCTCCTTCTTACGTTCATCTCTCCTCTGATCTTATACGACAGTTCCTTTCTTTAGCCTTCATGGGGTTTTCCTTCCTTGTGGTGCAATAAGTTTCTGAATTGGTGCCACTAGCTAGAACCAAGGATTTGCCAGCTTGTGTAATGCGCAAAAGATAAAAAGAGAGGAATAGCAATTCACATTATTTTTTACGTCAAGACATGATGTTGTATGGGTATGGCCATATGGATGCAAGTCGTTTTGATTGTACTACTATACAAACATAGATGTGTTGACTCTTGCCTGAAACTGCATGCTAGCATACACTGACACAGTTTCGTACATGATTGCTATTAATTTATGCTATGCAATTTTCATCACTGCTGAGCTCAGAGAGAATGTTCATATGCGCATGAGCACTTGCATCGCAGACCTTTTGTTTTATCCAGAAGCACAAGATGGAAATAGAATAATAACCCACTTTATCAATGCACTATCTCATGCACAGCTGTATTTTGTACTACTAGATGTAATGCAGCCTGTGTAAGCTGTTCCATTATTAGTTGTTTGGTGTCCTTATAATCAACAGAAGATCTATGATCTCTCTGTGAATGTGTATGTCAGTGTCTGGTGACTCTGGTCATGTGTCGATCTGGCTATGGATCTAGTGGATGATAATACATATGCATATCTATTAATGTTAATTAATTACAGGTAGTATTTTGTCATGCATGCTTTCAGTTATACCAGGTGGATATATCCATGAGATTTGATCCTTGTCGACGTCTCTGTATAGTATGTACATTTAATCTGATAAAGAGTTTTGAAACATATATATTACTACCTTTGTATCAAAATATAAGACGTTTTTGTAGGCCATTTTATAGCCTACCAAACCGTCTTGTATTTTTTTGATACGGAGGTAATACTTTGGAAAAAGCAAACTGATAAAGGGTCACGGTTTCAAACAGTTAATTAAGATATTGTTATATGTCTGACATGTGACATAATTATGACAAATTCATGGATAATTTGTATGTGTTATAGACATCTTAGAAATGCAGATCCACACAATGCAGGTGGGAGTGTGGCTCGGTTAACTTTTCCAGGGGATATCAACACACTGGAGCAAGCTAGCTCATCCATGGATCACAAATGGTAACACATATAACTTGCTTGCCTTTGAAATCTACTTTTCCATGTCTATGTATCAACTTAACTGCATCCACATATCCTATAACACAATCTAGAGACCATCCACACAATGGGAAATATATAACAACTTTTTTCGCCTTTGAAACCTAGTTTGCCCTACGTGTTCATCAGCTTAACTACATCCATAATGCACATCTAAAATTTTGAATTATATATGTCTGAATCTATAACACCTATCAATGAAATGGTGAGACTATTAATTTCCCTTACTTTAAATCCCATGTATATATGCAGATATTATTGTAGCTTTTGCACGCTGATCAAAATACCATCCATACTATTAAAGCTCATCAAGCTAGCCTAGGCTGCCCGTGATGGGGAGTGTTATATACTAGTATCATGCATGCGATACTAGTGTATGATAGTACTTTCATGATGTATATATAGTATCATAAGTTAGTATCTTAGATTGCCTTATTAATTTCCATTCATGACATAAAGTAGTATAACATTTAATATGATACAGTATCATGATATATATATGATATCGCATACTCTCTTTCCTCATTTAATTGTATGCCACATCATCAAAAAAGTCTAGTTGGCATGCATGATAATATGACTGTATAAATGTTCAAGATAAGCTACTTTACATTTGTCAGGCTAGTTTGGTGGCGGACCTAGATCTTGAGCCATGGAGGTGCTAACCTTTACATCCACACAAAAAATGCGGTGTATAACCTTGAAAAATTGTCAGTTTGGCAGTTTAATCCTAGAATACCCATAGAATTGGACAAACTAGTGTTATGGGGTGCCAGGGCACCTACGACACCCCCACTGGTTTGCTTATATAGGGTTTTCATCTTGATTCTACTTTCCTCAGTGCGTATGCGTTGAACCCATTAGAAACTAATACTACCTCTTGTAAACTAATATAAGATGTATACCATTTAATAGAAAAGGAGTTCTTCACTTTTTTTCACTTAACACCTCTCTAAAAATGATTATGCGACTAGGTGATCCAACAGACAACCAACAAAAATTGTGGCTATCATTTTACAAAATAATAATAAAAAACAGTCATGCCCCTATATATGCGATGCTCTTTTGCAGTTTGTCAGATTACTATCTAGCAGCAGTACGCTAGCTATTATAGTTCTCGAGCAATTTTAACATGATCCCTCTTATCTTCTCTTTTTATGTGAGAGGTCTATAATAGATCTGAGTCATTGATTTTATTTAGTGGGTTTGATTAACTCTTATGTTCCTATTATCTCCCATGTGAAAAGAGGAGGTAAGAGAGATGCAATGTAGGAGGCTGAATTTATATAGATATATGTATTATCCTCGTTGATGGACATATAAGTTGTGTAGTATCTTTTGTGAACAAAGAGTTGACGCGTGAGGAACATGCTTTTACAATGATTAAAAAATGCGCTGATACTTTTCGCTCCCCCAATTGATACGGTCTGATCCTCTCTATAGAAAAGCCTGATTCGTTCTGATCACAAATTATTTGGTACCTGCAGACTAATGATGCACCCTTCGTGCTACCTTTGCATTGAACCGGTCAGACCCGAGCCATGGCTCCCGAGTACAGCTAGTGTAAGTATTATATAATCAAACCAGATCATCCTGTCAATCTCCATCCAATTAAGCGCGTAGGTATCTTCACGGACAGATCCGACTCATGCTTGGCATGCATGATCGATGAGGCCGGCTTTGCTGTCCCCCCAGGGCCGGATCGGCTTTCATGGTCGGATCGACTCAAGTTGCACAAATCCCAAATGGTACTTTTCAATCAAATCTTTTCGGTCATCATCGCGTGCATGTGTCGCGCGCTGCATGCATGGATTATATAAAGAGAAAAAGAAAGCTCTACACATTTGCAACTCGATCGATCCCTAACTAACATGAGTTCATCCTCTTGTGAAAAGCACTCTCTGCCTCGTCTCCCTCCCCCACCCCCATATATATCGTACTGCGTAAAACTGACAGGAACATGATGATATTTTATACGCGTGTTTCACCCGCTGGGCGTGCATGCATGCACGTTACCTGCAGCAAGCTGCATGCCAATGGACTAGACCGCGCCCATCGCCTAGCAAAAGGGTTTAGGCCATCTCCAATGCAAACCCCTAAAACGGACACGGTATTCGTCCGCCAACAATGATATGGGAGCCGGCCATTCAATCACACCCGCATACATTTTAAATCAAATTTAAATAAAACAGACACATTTTATCAAACACGATGGATTCACTAAAGTTTGGTTATAATGTATGTCGTCGTCTGTGTCGTCTTCGTTGCCGGAGTGGTCCCTCGAGCGGCGGAATGGTGTGGGGGCGCAGCAGTCCTGCCCGGCCGCCTCCTGGCGCTTGTGGCGGAACCGCTCCAGTTCCGCCACAGCTAACACCGACCCAGGCCGGGGAGCCTTGCCCTTGTCCCTACCAGAGGCGGCGGCGGTCTCACTGGGAGACCACTGCTCGCCGATCTTGGCGAGCTCCCCATCGAGGCCGCGATGTCGTCATGCGGCCGTCTCGGCGGTGTTGAGCGACCGCTCAAGGGCCCGGACCTCCACGAGGTCGGGGTCCGCACGACGCCTCGTCTGACTTGGCGAACATCGAGTGGCTTGGCATGTTGTGCCATTCCCGCTCGCATCGCCGGCCTCGCGGTCCTCTCCTCCATTGTGATGGTGCTCTTCGACGACGAGGAGCCGCCGCCACCGCCGCCACCGTGGTCGTGAAGGAGGAGCCCACACACCTTGTCGGTCGCTGGCGGCACCTCCTCCTTCACAGCGTTGTCGTGCTAGTGTGGCAGCGATGTTGGCTCACCCGTCACGCGGCGACCGATTTGGACGCCTCGGTTGCGTGAGGGGTACACCGACTCTGCCTTCATGCGGCAGAGAGGAAGAGAGGGCATCTTGTGCTTCACACGGTAGCATGGTGGCGACAAGGGCTACTATTTCACGCGGGCTAGTGGTGGCGAAGGACCACGGTCGGATGCGTCAGGAGCTCGATCTGCCGCACAAACTCGTCGTCCATGACTGCGGCCCCCGACAGGAGGCACGACTGCAGCGACAGCTGCTCCTCCTCGCCGCTGGAGGATGACAATCTCCTCCTTCTCGAAGGAGTCGGCGCAGTGGAGGACGAGGGCCCCGAAAAGCGAGGACACCCGCTCCAAGATTCGGATCCCTAAGATCCGGAGCCGCCGCCGCATGTCGACGCGGAGATACGGTACATGGGCATGATGGAGACAGTGGTATGGTGCCTGAGGGGACAAGAGAGGGTGGGAGTGTAGAGGTGGGTGCAGTGTGGACGGTGTCGGAGCGGTGCTTTATAAATAGGCACGGTCAGGCAAAGTGGTGCGAAACCGGCTTCAATGCGGTGCCCCGACTAGAGTAGGCCATGTTGGTATTGAAGCGGAGCTGCCCGCTGGATCGGTCGTGTCGCTCTGACCAAAATCAATGGCGTGGAGCCGTGTCCGCTCTAGAGCGTCGATGACTGGCATGAATGTGTGGCAACCGCTTCATGCCGGAAAGGGTTTTGGGTGGGACCGGGGTGTCAGATGAGGGCGTGGTAGCGGTCCAGACGCCCGCATAGGCCCCCGGTTTGCTTCCGGATTGCGTGGAAATGGACATCTGGACCGGTCCACGGACCGATGGGTGCCCGCATTGCATTGCAAAACCCATCCAGACCGCTTAGTCCGGATGGTTGCGGGCGGTATGAGGGTCTGCATTGGAGATGCCCTTAGTTTCTTGATTGATGGTGTCTTATCATTTGTGTAATAGTATAGAGAGGGATTGATGGAATCGATGGTGTATTGCTTGAGCCTCTGGGCATATATATAGGAGT